ACGCCTCCTCCCCGCGGGTGGGGAGGCCTGACCAGACTTCTGGAACCGCAGGGTTTGGGGGACCCCCCCCACTCCCCATCGTTTCCCAGCTCTCCGGTGGATGTGCTCAACAGACCTTCCCGGCCGGGACTGCGCGGTGGACCGGGCCTGCTGGCAGACCTGCGGCGGGGCCGTGGGCTGGGCCGGGACCCCAGCGTGGGGGGCAGCGGGACTGCCCCGGGGGTCTAGCCTGGGGGGGACTGCGGACTGAATAAATGAACAGTGGCACCCCCGCGGGGCGTGACCGCAACTTCAGGACTTTTGTTTGTGGAGCAGGACCCAGTGGGCCGAGCGGTACCAGCCTTCCGGGGCTGGGGGAGCTGGGGGTCCTTCTGTCCCCTAGACCTTGGTCACATCCTGTTCTCCCAACAGACCCCCCGCAAAAAAGGAAAAAGCCCCAAAGTGGTTGCCACCTAGGTGACTTTGGCTCAGATCCCTCCCCCCCAATCTGTGCGCTGCTAGAACTGGCTCCGTGGGTAGAGGGGCGTCAGAGCCCGGCCCTACGCGCCCCTGGGTGGACTAGAACCTCCCAGCCTTGGGGTTCAGGGGCTCCCCCAGTGCCCTGCTTGTCTCAAGGGGAGAAGCGAGACCGGCTGGGCAGCATGGTCTTTATCAGTACGTGGGTGTGTAGACAGGCGGCGGCCGCTGGTTGGATGAGGGGTTAGTAGGGCTCAAGGTTCCAGTGTCGGTAGTTCTGGGTCGTGTACCGTGGGCGCTGGGGCGCAGACAGGTAAGGCACGTACTGGGATGCCCGAGATAGCGGTTCCACTCCGAACCTGTGCCTGTTGACCACTGTGGGGCAAAGGGGTGGGGGTTGGGGGGGCTGGTGTTGGTTAGCTTGTGTCCCAGCCCCTGTGGATGAACCTTCCAGGTAGCTTGGCCCTCGTCTCCCCCTCCCCCAGCAGCAGTCAGAGGGTGATGGGGAAGGGCAGCTGGAGGGAGGTGCTGGGCGGCCACTCACCGTACTCCTTTCCCCTGATAGGTCTGTCTTCCCACAGCAGGTTCCCCCACCTTGTCCGGGGGGTGTTGTACTGGGTGGGGATGGTGGGGTCGTACCAAGAGGACTCCCGGAGGTGCTGGGTGTAGGCTGCAGGTGGTGGGTGGGTAGTGGAGGTAGTGGTCATTTCGGCCCTGTCCCCTTTGCCCACCCAGTCACCCCCACACCAGGATTTGGGAGCCTGCTGTGGGGGAGCCAGGGATTTGGGGGTACTCACCCGAGGGCAAGCCCTGTTCCCGGAAGCTGTGGCATCCGTGCCAGTGCAGGTACGCAGGGCGCCGGGGGCTGTCCAGCGCCTGGGGCATCGTGTGCCAGGCCTCTCGGGGCCCTGAGTTGGTCATGCCAGTGTACCACACCTGGCCGGCTGCATCCCGGCCCAGGGGAGTGTACTTCCACCGCGTCGCCTGCTTGATGGCTGGGGTCCAGCGGGGGCCCTCCAGGGACAGGTAATCATCACTGGGGGCCAAGTGGTGTGGCTGTGAGGTTGGGGTCCTGGCCTTGCCCCTCACCCTTCCCATAACCCCCATTGCACCTGAAGCCTTTTGTGTGCTCCATCCTGCCCAGGACAGGGAGGGCAGGGCCGGAGGCTTTGGTCACTCTCAGGTCCTGGGCCCTGGTCCAGCTTCCCCCTTTCTCAAGACCCTCCTCCTGGGAACCCTCCAGCCTGCCCTGCCAGGAGGGGTGCCTGTGGGTAGGAGGGGACTCTAGATGGGGCAAGGGAGTGGCTTGAGGGGCTGATTGAGTAGTCTGGCCTAGGAGGGGAGGAGACACGAGAGTGTGGAGAAGGCCCAGCCCCCTGGAAGGCCCTCTGGGCAGCCTGTCTGTCAGGGCCAGCCTCAGCCTCCTTCTGCACATACTCAGGCCAAGGATAGCCCAGACGGTAGGCATTGGGCTACTTATCACTCCAAATGGGCAGTTCAAACCCGCCAGCAGCTCCAGGGAAGGAAGATGAGGCTGTCAGTTCCCATAAAGATGGATAGCCTTGTTGCTGGGTTCCAACCCATAGCGACCCAATAATGCCCAGAAGAAGGATGAAGATCAGTCTACCCAGTCCTGTACCATCCTCACAATGACTCCCGAGCCCTTCGTTGCAGCTACTGTGTCCATCCATCGCCTTGAGGGACTTCCTCTTTTTTGGTGCCCCTCCCCTTTACTAAGCCTGGTGTCCTCCAGGGACTGGTCTCTCCTGACAACGTGTACAAAGAGGGTGAGACAAAAGTCTCGCCATCCTTGCCTCCAAGGAGCCCTCTGGCTGTCCTTCTTCCAGGGCAAATGTGTCTCTTTAGAAGTCCATGGTACTTTCAGTATTCTTCTCCAGCACAATTCAAGTGCATCAACTCTTCTTAGGTCTTCTCTAATCAAGGTCCGACTTTCACATGCATATGAGGCCACTGAACTCGGTCTTGTGGCTTGGGCCAGGCGCACGTTAGTCCTCAAAACACCACCCTTGCTTTTCAATACTCTCAAGAGGGCTTATGCAATAGATTTCCCTAGTGCAACACCCTGTTTGATCTCTTGACCGCTGCTTCCACAAGCATGGATGGTGGAGCCAGGCAACACGGAACCCTTGACAACTTCAACCAATTACTCCATTTCTCCTGATGTTACCGACTGGTCCAGTTGTGAGGATTCTGGTCTTCTCACATTGAGGCATAATCTATATTGAAGGCCACAATCCTTGATCTTCATCAGCAAGTGCTTCAAGTCCTCCTTGCTTTCAGCAAACCAGGCGGTGCCAGCTGTACATCGCAGGTTCTTCCTAAGACTTCCTCCAATCCTCCCTCGTATAATTCAGCGTCTCTGATGATTCGCTCCCTGACAGCCTTAGAAACCCCATGCAGGGTCACACGCAAGTGGAGGGCTGTGGGCTAGTGATGGGTCAGCATTGACAAGGTAGCGGTGGGTGGGTGGATGGATGGGGGGAATAACTGGCCACACATCCAGCGCCTGGCCCTGCAACTGCTGGGCAGGGAGGCTGAGAACGCAGGGAGGGCTTCCCGGGGAGAGCCTGAAGGTGAAGGTGTGCCCAGGCCCGGGGCAGAAGGGGCCGGTTTACCGGGACTCCAGGCCCAGCAGGCTGCAGGGCAGCGGGGAAGGGGAACAGACTAAACACGTCAGCCGTCGTCAGGCCCCGGGCGGGCGCCGGTCACAGCGCCGCCTGGCGGCCGGAGCCGGCCCTCAGTGGGGTTTGGGGACGCGGAAGCGGAAACGGAAGTGGAGCAGTTGGCACCGCCCACCTCCCGGTCCAACTCCACCTGCTGAGCCCGCAGTACTCTTCCTCCAGAGGCCGCGAGGCTGTGGACTAGCAGGCCGCCCTCGCTGCCCTCCAACCCGTCACCCTCCCCAAACGGAAGCTGCCCTTAAGTCCTGCCATGGCCCCACCACGCGCTGCTTCAACATTTTCCACGATTCCATGTTTTCAGTAAAGAAAACAACAAACTCAGTCGATTCCGAGGCATAGCGCCCCTGTGCGTTTTTCTGAGACTCTCTTTCTTCTGAGACGCCCGTCTTTCCCCTGCGGAGCAGCTGGTTTCGAACCGCTGACCTTGCGGTCAGTAGCCCAGTGTGTAACCACTCTGCCACAGGGCCTCTTTCTGCCGGATTCGAGGAAGTACTGGGGGAGGGAGGTGGACGACGGAGTTCGCTTCAATGGGGTGGGACACCTGTGTCCCAGGGGACTCTCGGTAGGATTAGTGGGGTGAGACAGCCTCTGCAAACTCCCACGGTTACACAGGTCCCCACCCACCAGGTGGCAGCACGTAGCAGGAGAGGCTGGGGATGTGGGGGCAGAGCAAGAGGGAGGGTCTCGAAGTTAGTGGGAAACTGGAATTGAAAGGAAGTAGTTTGCCAGTTCTTGGAAGCTCCCTAGTGTACAGCACGGGTCATGAAAAGGTCAAGCAGTGATTTCCGTCCTGCCTGATAAGTTACAATCCACTTCCATTTCACAAGGAGCCCTTGTGGCATCGTGGTTACCCACCGGGCTGCTAACCCCAAGGTCAGGGGTTTGAAACCACCCACGGGAGAACGGAGACCAACCAGGCAGTCTCGGAAACCCACAGGGCAGTTCTGAGTCAGGCAGTGAGATTTTTTTTGAGTTCCCTTTCTGAAAGGAACCCTGGTGACCTGTAGTGGCGGCGCTCTGGGCTGCTAACGGCAAGGTTGGCAATTTGAACCCACCAGCTGCTCGGAGTGAGAAAGATGAGGTTTTCTGTTCCGGTAAAGAAGGACAGCCTCGGAAACACACAGGGGCAACTCTTCTCTGTCCTGTGGGGTCCCCGGGAGTCCAGTTCACTTCACATGAAGGGCATCGGGCTGTGTGTGTGTCCCTTTGTGTCCAGCTTCTCTAAACATCAGGCTGCTCCCTTTGAGCTCCATTGCCTGACTGGACCACACTGGGTCACCTGTGAGGCTTGCTCCCCGCCAGCCTGTCTGTCTGCCTGTCTGCTACGCTGACCTCGGTCTCCAAGGTGTCTGTTAGTGAGCTAGTAGGAAGAGTGGAGCCCAACCTTGCTGGGTGGTCAGGGACCTGGGGCTGCCAGGTCTGCATTGGGGGCAGAGGGCTGGCGGCCTGCTATAGCCCTTTACTGACCCCCTCAAGGAGCCGGGGGCACCGAGGGCCAGGCCAAGGAACTTACCTGATCAGCGGTGGGGGGAATTCTGTCTCCAGGGACACCCGGGGGACGTGGGTCCGGGCAGCCTGCCGCCTCAGTCTCTCCATGTTTGCCTCTGCTTCCCAGAGGCTCTGGCCAGGAGGGTTGCTGGGGCCATTGTTGACAGCCAATAGAGGGCACCTGGTGTCCTAGCAACAGAACTAGTGGCCAGCCTGGCCTCCCTGACAGCACCTCCCCTCGGGTGGAGAGAGAGAGTGTGAGTGAGTGAGTGAGTGAGTGAGTGAGTGAGTGAGTGAGTGAGTGTGTGTGTGTGTGTGTGTGTGTGTGTGTGTAAGCGCAAGAGGGAGAGCAGCAGGGAAAAGAGGCTGAGGTGGGCATGGGAACTCCTGGGAAAATATTTCACTCCAGTTTTTAAAAAATCATTTTGTTGGGGGCTTGTACAACTCATCACAATCCATCCATCCATCCATTGTGTCAACCACATTTGTTGCCATCATCATTCTCAAACCTTTTGCTTTCTGCTTGAGCCCTTGTTATAAGCTCATTTTTCACCTCCCTCCCTGCCCCACCTCCATCACAAATCCTTGATAATTTATAAATTATTATTTTGTCATCTCTTACACTGTCCGACTTCTCCCTTCACCCACTTTTCTGTTGTCGGTCCCCCAGGGAGGGGACTATATGTAGATACTTGTAATTAGTTCCCCCTCCCTACCCCACCTTTCCTCTACCCTCTCAGTATCACCACTCTCACCACTAGTCATGGGGGTTTATCTGTCCTGGATTCCCTGTTTCCAGTTCCTATTTGTACCAGTGTACATCCTCTGGTCTAACCAGATTTGTAAGGTAGAATTGGGATCATGATAGTGGTGGTGACTGGGGTGCGGAAGCATTTAAGAACTAGAGGAAAGTTGTATGCTTCATTGGTCTTACACTGCGCCCTGACTGGCTCGTCTCCTCCCCGCGACCCTTCTGTAAGGGGATGTCCAGTTGCCTACAGATGGGCTTTGGGTCCCCACTCCGCACTCCCCCTCATTCA